AGCCTAGACACACGTGTACATTAGTAGAGAACCGCAAACTACACTTGGTGGCCGCCAGGGGTAGATGAGGTTGGAGAGCAAAGTGGGAGATTTGGAGACGGCTGGTCGGTGTTTTGCACTGGCGAAGTGGGGCGCTGCGGATTAACGTCCGGAGCGCGTCGGCTGTTGGCCAAACCCCGCTATCCGGGCATAGCTGCTGACTAAAGCGGCCAAAACCGAGTAGGAATCAATCAAATCAAATCAAATCCTGTGTGTGATATACGCTACTTATCATTGAAGTAGGTATTACGTGGCCGCAATACTCGTTACGTTGACGATAATTTAGTGTATCCTGGGAAGCCTTTGCTATTCCTCGTTCCGCTGTTGATCTTGTAGTCAGCCGCATGCAGGTTCGGAGATGGTGGGCTTAGTTAATGGCATTCGCAATGATGGTGCGTTACCTCAGTCAGAAGACATTTGGAGCAGACTTGCCTGTGTGAGTTCTCTTTTGACTAAGTTTAGAAAGCAGGCGCTCTATCGTCAATATGTTTCTATTGACCATTCTACCCACAGCATCATTCTGTGAGTCTTCCAGATTTGCCGGTCGAGAGGACTGCTGTTTACTTATGCGATCGCATGAAATCAAGTTTCTCGCGTCATTGGCTTCTAATAACCCTTTTAACTACAAAGCTGACTGAAGCGGCCGAAACCAAGTAGGATACACTCAATTCAATCAAATCACATGGTGCGCTGTAGCCATCAGGTGCTAGTGGGGCACGACCTGGTTCCTTGTTGAGTCGTAACAACCATTCTACGAAACCTTGTGATGGAGCTACATAAGTTGTGACGAAACGATAGTGCTTGGATTTACTACCATTGAGCCAGCGGGCCAAAAGGCACAATGTTCGATCGTCAGACCGAACCCCAAGCTACTACATGACCGACTCATGACATTAAGTACTCGGAATAGCCTCAAACAGATGAGGTGTTCACTTGTTTGTCTACATGACTCAGCGGTACAGTTCCAGGTTCTATCACATTGTCTCTGCCTGACATCCCCCGAATCCTTCTTGGTGGTCACCACACGTTCTATCCGTATAATGCATTGCCGTGGTGCGTCTCATGGATACCAGAGATCGAGTGTCAACAAGTCTCCGAGCGCCACGTCCGAGGGCTCTCGAGAGGCTTCTGGCGGGAGCGAGAGGGCATCATAAGCAAACGACTCGAAGTGACTACCAACAGAGGTTAGGTCGTATGCCAGTATCCAGCTGTCCTTTGCGCTACTGGTTGAAGAGCCAATTATTGTAGGTTTTCCAGGAGATATCTCGTTGAGTTGTGTCTCCGCCGTATTGGGTTGGTGATTCGAGCATCCAAGCGGGTACATATTGATCCAATTCGTCGAGGCTGTGCTTGAATCGCTGGCTTGCAGGGGCCATGAATTCTCAAAGTTGTTTAACCCCACTGTGTGCATCGCCGGATATCTTGGTATTGTTTCCAGCCTAATATCAAGGCCACTCGGATCGTTGACATTGGATGGAACAGTATCAGGCAGTTTTGTTTGACTTGTTATGCTGGACGACTTCGAGGAGTTGCGGGAGGCTGACGGTGTTGACTGAGTGGCTGCCTTGCTACGACGCTGCTTAGTCGGTCTTCCCAACTGACGCGGCGGGCTGTAGAAGCAGTCGATCTGGAGCCTTCGGCAGCGATCGCACTTGGCAGCTCCAGATTCGCTTGAGCACCGGCTCTTGAGGGATCGGCAGCGGTCGCAGGCACTTCTTTGAGCGAACGACATGGCTGGTGGAGCGTTCGTGTAGATACGCCATGAGAATGCAAGGACGGCTTACGTATTGTGTTAAATGGGAGCAGCCGAAGGTTTTATTGCCTACATTTCGCAAGTCTCGCACACGATGCCCAGGAATAGTCGGGCTACCCGGACTGGTCTTGTTCTCGTCAGGTTCACTTACACGTTCCACTACTATCCGAGTCCTTGCGTCCGAGCGTGGGGGACACCTGAGATAGTTAGGTTTCCTCTTCTCCTCCAGGGATTGGCCATCAGGCGCGACGCTAGTATACTATGTTAAGGTTCTTAGAAAAACTTGGTGATGTTAATCCAGTCCCTAAACTGATACTACAAGGGACTGGCCTAATTCGACGTTGGCTTTGCCGCGAGTCTGGAAAGGCAGACTGGGAGTGGTATCGCGTGACTCTAGCTCAGATTCTAGGTTTAAAGAGGCCTTTTAGCAATTAATCTTCGCAAAGTACCTAGGAACTCTGTTAGAGCCAGTGTCTACCATTGGGCAGGACATATTGCATGCGAGCCAGGCGGTGTGAGCGATGAGGCTTTCTAGTTAAATCAGACACCACGTTAGCCTATGAAGTCCTAGTGCAATTTATTGAAGTCAATTAGAAAAGTTGATTTCCCTGTCCATCTTTGCTCGTACCTTGCGACGTGAAATTTTCGTCATCACTGTGGTCCTTCTCTCCCTTGTCTCAAGGAGGTGACCGCTTCGCCTCCATAGCGTTGAAATGATCCCGATCTGGCAAGCCTCTACATAGAGTCTAATATTCCCACATGACATATCATTCGCATTGCTCTGTCGTCCCGAGTGGTTCAGTGAGTGGATCAGCAGAGTCGGGTTATGTTGGTAACTACCTGACGGCAATCTAATACACTTTTCCTCTCGTGCCTAGATTAGGGACTCATTACTAATCCTCTAGCCCTGTCAGTCTCAAAAAGCACACTAGCAGGGGTCTCCTAGCTTGGTCGAAGCGAATGGCTCTTCCGCAGCCCTGTGCTAAACACAGATAGCGACGCACCGCTAAAGAAAACCCTCCTCCCATAGGCTCAATTGCCCACGAGTCAATTTCATGTTTTCCAACGCTATTCCGAATTGTTCAGGAATTCTGGGCGCCAAAGAAGGGGGGGAGGAAGAACAGGGGCTCAATGTCGTCGATAGGTATGCAAAAGAACATTGAAGCGCATCGTCTCAGGCTCGCTAACGCTATATTCGTAGCGAGTGAGCCTCGTAATAGTGCGTCGCCTGTTCGAACTTCTCAAACGTGCCCGGGTCTCGTACCGGGCATTCCAGTAGGCTTCGGCTTGGCCTGTCGGAGGCGGCGGTGGTGGCCCCGGGTCCTTCGCAGTCCCGGAAATCGGCCATAGGGCTTGGATATGGCGGTTCTTTGAACAGTACACTGAATGGGTTGGCGACAGTTTCCGCCCGCAGTTACATCTAAAGTCACCTTCATGCCCAAAGCGCCTATGGCGGGAGTGGAAGTGTCCGTGGCTAGAGCGCGTGGCTAGGAGCTGATGCCAAAGAGTGCGAGGCAAGTCTAGTTCTGGGGTGCATCCGAGGACCACGGCAGTTCCTGCGTACCCAGTTTGTGCTTCTGCTTAGACTTGTTCCATCATTGCTGGGAATGGCTCCGGGCATGCGTTCTGACTTTATTCGCTATTCCAGCGTATGAGGCCAGTGGCGGATGGTTGGGCATCGGAAGGGCAGCCTCTTTCTTTGCAAGTTTATCAGCTAATTTGTTTCCAGGAATCCAGATGTGTCCGGGCGACCAGTGGCATTTGATATTCCTTACCTGCTGGGCGTCAATGATCTCTTCCATCGCTGCTTGCGAGCTACCTGGAGAGCTACCGAAGCCTGAGATGAAGTTCAGGGCAGAAGTATGTTTAAGGCAGATGTGTATCGGTGCAGTGGAGGAGGTGGATAGGCGAAGTGCTCGCCGCAGGCCTTGCCCGGCTCCTTCAGCTTCGGCATCAAAGACCTCTGTGACCATAGCTCTTTGCGATGACTTGAGGGCCGCGGTGTATCGCACACCCGTAGCCCACTGCGCTTTCGGCGAGCATCGACCCGTCTGAGTAGACCACGAGGTCAGAGGCCGAAAGTCCCCTTACCATCTGCTGAAAGCAGCCGAGGATTAGGACCGGCCGTGGCCATGGGGGCAGGAGAGCATAGGTCCGCTGAAGTCGGGTTTCCCTCCCAGGGCAATCAGGTGCTCGCCCCTCCAGCCGAGGGACCAATGGGTGTAGGGCGTCACTTCGGCGTAGCCTCGCGGCATTGCGCCATCTTGCCCCTTTTGGATCGGCTATGGCGGTGGGCAGGCCTTACTCTCCGAACAAGAGGTCAGCCAGGGTGGTACGTCAGACCTGGAGCACGGCCCGGGCAAGTGAAGTGGCCTTTCTGACCGGTATGTACGAGCGGTTCGCGAGGGTGGTCCGTTCGGGGCGCTTTTGGGAAGTTGGCCGGCTTGGTACTGCCCGAAAACCACACCTCAAAGCCAAACAGAGCTGACGGGATAACACAGGCCGTCACGGCAAGTCGCGGAAGCTGTGGGACGGGAAACAAGATTGAAGAAAAAAAATTATACAAGAAAGGAAATATCTTCTCCTAAACATGAGAATCTCGTCTTGTTGATTCCGCTCTCATCGCCGGTCCGTCCGTATGGTTCATCTAAACCCCATTTGCCGCCTCGCCCATTTCTTCGTGTCCAACGACTCCGCAGAGTCATTTCTCCCCGCCGAGGTGCACTCTGCTCCCGGCAATTTGACTCTTTGTAGAGACATCCTTTGTCCGAATCACGCCAGTAGCTTCAGAATACTCTACCGTGATTTCGTGCCCCGCTTCAATGCCCTTACTCACTAGGATGATGCGCTGCGTACTCATCCACACAAATTGCTGGAATTGCGCGTTGGACTGGCGACTGTGATTGATGAACCTCGTAAAGTTGCCCTGCCGACCCTGCCAGATCTGATAGGCTCGGCCACCCGTCGAGCTATCCATGACGTCCGTGTTTTGCAAATCTCTCGTGATAAGGCCCACAAATTCTCCTATCGCCGCACCGCGCTCAAACGGACACAGAGCCATCAGGCTGTTGTTGCGTCCGTCAGAGGTCCGGAACACTTGCACCGGACAGGGGAACCGGCGTCCGAACCCAAATAACGTCGGGAAGCAGTAGCACGTGTTGGTCTTAGGGTCTTCGGACTGTTCCCGCCCACACGATTGACATGTGTGTACGCCTAGGACACAAGCCACGGCGTCCACTGGCGGCACCCACCGTGGGTCATCGGTGCCCCACGCGCTCATATCTATGACTGAGTGTTCAAGCTGCTCAAAGCTGAAGTTAGGGTTGTACTTGAGGCATGTTGACCGGAGCGATACCGGATCTGAACCGTCCCTGTAGACTACCCAGTCGTGTGGGTGGCCGAAAAAGCGACGCTGCGTACGTTCACCAACAATCACGAGTAGATGCCGCCATGTGGGGTGCAGCGTATCGGCGGCGACCTCAATCTGCGGCCGGAGGCACCGGAGTCGCTGCATGCTATCCGGGTCAAATCCAACTCTGTATTTGCAGAAGCGGTAGAATCCCACGCCGGAAAAGACAAGCACTGCCCAGCCTCCCGCGTCCTTGATGTCCTTGTAACCGCGCCAGATTGCCATCCTGTTTCGCAGCTTCTTCTCGGACCACCCAAAGTCGTTACATGTCTTGATGAGCGTCGCTTTGCGGCGTTTGGCGCGGGACATACTGGGTTTAGTGATGGCAAGTAGCTCGACGTACGAGTCAAAGTGCTCGATCCACCGCGTTTGGACAATGACCTCGATCAGGCGGCACGCGCGGCTGATTTGCGTGATTTTCCGGCAAAAAATGTTGCCGCGATTGAAAATCCCTTCGATCTCGGTTTCAGACAGCGTGCCCTCTGCTGACGACGCCTGGAGCTGGTCGAATCCCAGCTGCTCGGGAAAGTAAATTTTGACAGCATCAATGCTTCCCTTTCCCGACTTTGCCGCCGTTGCCATGAGCTGCCACTGTTCAAGCAGATCTTGGGAATCCAAGCTCATGCAGCCGTGAATCCGCTCCCAGATGTTGACGACGAATCTGTCAATGGAGGACTGCTGCGGGATGATGACGACGTTTGACTGAATCTCTACGGGATGAGGAAAACCGTTAGTAAACTGCGTGTGCCGCTGACTTTCCGGGTGCTCTTCTTCCACATCCGCAGTTTTCCTATCTGATCGCAGCGCTGAGACCCCCCATCTCCGAAATGAGGCATTGACTCCAGTCCCAGTTGATAATTGCGGCAGCCCTTGATGTGGTGTCCTTTGCGCTCGGATAGAAGGCCAGCCAACGCCGTCCATTACCGATTGGGTGCCAAAGGTGGATAGTGTTGGCTGCCCGATGGTGTTTCCTTTCCTCGCATTATCCACACTCAGCCTGTCATTTTCGCTTTGTGAAATTATGCTAGATAAGTCTAGGATTTTCTGTATATAGGTGGTGATGGTTAGCATAAGTCCCTCTCGTACTTTGTCAGTTACCCCCTCCCCATTCATGTGGCACATTTACGGAGGAGCCGTGAAGTAGACCGAGCAGTGACATTCGAAGCTGACTTAACCGCCACTCCTTCTGTCTGAAATGCTCATTCCGCATCGTGGTGATTATTGCCGTTGTAGATTAGTCGCACAGGCAGCGAATGAAGGCTGAACGGTTGCCAAACAACCCGCGAAAACAGGGGCTCCAGCCCTCGTTGATTAGAATGGTTATGCAACATACCGAAATCATGGGTGTGCAGGATATTTGACGCTGCATTCCCTGCTCGCCGTCCTGGATGAGAGTTTCAAATCGAAGCACCGGTTTCACTAGGTTCCCGAATGAATGATCCCCCAGGATTCCCGCGAGCAGGTCTACAATCACGCGGCAAAGATCCTGTTGCAGAGTGTCCATACGTTGCTCCTGGGGGGTCATGATCCAATGTTGGTGGGAATCAGTCGGCGATAGAGAGAAAGAGAGAGAGAGAAGGATGATCAGAAGAAGGATGTAACGAAGCTTGTATATATCTTTATCACATGGCTTACTACTGAGTGTCGTAGCGGGCCTCCGAGCGAGTAACGCCACCTAGTTCCACGTTCCTGGTCTTCTTTGCACGGAAGGTCGGTTCAATCGTGCCGAACAAGGTAGGCCGAGCGTAGTCTAACATCTGAATACGCTATGGCATTAATTGATGGCCACTGCTTTCTGGTGGAGGGAGGGCAGAAAACTCGGCCATCATAATTTACGACCGCGTGGCGATGTGGGAATTGATCTTCCCCTCCCTCCGAGAGGTAGGCGCGGACGTAGTCAGAATCTAGTCCGTTGAACGCCAGCTTAGAATGGTGCGACACGAATTGTTGATGCGCAGATAGAGCCAATTTGCTGGGTGGAGATTCTGAAGTAGAGAAGGGGCAGTGGTGGAGCTGGGTAGAAAGATCCTCCTCTTACACTTTTCGTCGCTTATTTAAGTTTCAGTGGTCCCGCCACAGCCACAGTTGCAGAAGGCCCGAAAAATGGGGTTGACTTAACCCGTTTCTGGCGGATGCCGCTGTCGATGTTGCAAAAGCATGCCCAAAGGATAGGGTAGTCAGTAGAAGAACAAGCGTCGTACAATTGAAGTTCACCTGGCATCGGCTAGCCGACGTCCCCCTTGTCCCGGTTAGGTTACTCGGAAACAGCCAGTCTGGGCCCTGCTGAATCGGAACGTCAAAGTGGTATCATTAACTCACCTTGCTCACTTATTTTAGCTTTTCCTACCCTGATCTACGGAGGTGCGTCCCAAAAGTCATGGCAGTTGCTGCCAAGACAAAAAGACCCACTTCAGGCGAGCTACTTTGAGGTACAAGCACCTATCTTTATCTCTTATCATACAACTATCGATAAGGGATCATCCAATCAAAAAATATTCAATAGCCCTGCTTATCTAATCGATAATCATATCTCTTTATCGATTAAAGCTTGAAGTAGACTCTTGTCACAATCCTGTTGACTGGGTGATTAACCCATGGCCCCACTGCCATGACTTTTGGGACGCACCTCCGTAGAATTTCTGCAAAGCTTGAGGAACGGGTCGAAAGCCAGCGCCTCCAAATGATCGCTGGAGATCGAGTAAGTCAATTTCTCGTACTTTAGCTGACACACTTAGTGGCAGACTTCCAGACTACGCCGGCTCGTTTTATTGTGATGTATACCGGATAAATACTCGTGGGAGCCAGCGACGCCGGCAGAGATCTCTTTGACCATGACAAACATTAGTACATAAGCGCTACGGACCACGAGAATTGTCCATAGAATGAGCAAATATGGCTGCAAGTGATCGCAAACGTGCCCTGCCGCTCCAACACCAAGATCCGGCCAATAGAGATGCCTGCTTAACACTCAGCAATTCGCCCATCTTCAGTTGCTGTCTTTGAAATTTCTCCGCGCAAGCGAGAGCGCTATTTGGCAATTGCAATGCTGCTGCGTGTTTGAGGCGAGCAAGTAGACAACCACTGGCCAAGTAACTATCAACCGATTCGACACAGGACATCTTTCGGGGATTTTGTTGTGACAACTAGAACCTCGTCTTCCATAAACCGTCAGAATATATTGACCGCGATCAGTAATCCATGTCATTGCCCCAAGCACATGGTCTGGGGGTATGAACCAAGCCCCACCGATATCGTCCTCATTTGTTGCCCTCCAGTATTCTGGCCGAGCGACGCTGTTCCAAGAAAAGTTTTAAGAATCGTTTTCAGTGTCGGCTTATTTTGTTGACACCCACCCATGATATTGCAAGCGGATGCGTGAATGCTCTGGTCTGGCAATTCCTATCTATTAATCTGGACCCTGACTGATTATATTTAGCTTCCGTCGTTCCTCCTTCCGAGGTAGTAGATTATTCTTATTAAGCCGGAAGAGGTACGCGGGTTCTTTATAGAAATGAGTAATTCCAATTCATCACGACGAAGGAGGTAGTCAACCTTCCCATCCAATCCGAGTATGGGTTAGACCCTCAGTTGATGCATCATTTACGTCGCGATTTACTTGTGCCTTCCAGCTTCTCTGCTATTAGACCGGGCCGACTAGGAGGACTTCGTCTTCGTCGCTTTCCCCTACTGAATCGTCGGTGGCCTCGGCTAACATCATCGAAGACGGCGAGATAAGCAAAAACGGAACGGTGACGTTCCGATTGCGAGTCTCCAAAGGAGTCGAATCCGGTCGCGTCTCGAGGGAAGTGGATGGGGTTTACTTCGAAAATGCCCTGTTCAGGGTTGTGTTGTGCACGACGACGATCGCATAAGCAAAATAGAATTCCTTGATGTACTGTATCGAATGTAGGCGTGCAACTGGCGCATTTAAGCTTCAAATCAGTCGTTGTTCGTTTCTAGGCGAGAAATAGATTCGCGGACAAAGGTAAACCCAACATTCAAGCATGCGTCTTTAGTATTCCAAAAAAAAAAAAAAAAAAAAAAAAAAAAAAAAAAAAAAAAAAAAAAAAAAAAAAAAAAAAAAAAAAAAAAAAAAAAAAAAAAAAAAAAAAAAAAAAAAAAAAAAAAAAAAACAATCAATATAATCGTAGAGTGACAGGCAGCCTGCCTTATCGTCGTCATCGTCGCGCGGGAATGTGCAAGCAGGCGGTAATATGATGCTGGATAGTAGTAAAGCGATAAAAATCATCTGTCGTCCAGACGAAGATGCAGTGGTAGGTACAGTATCAATGAAAAGAAGCTGCAGCCCAAGAACTGGTGAACATGGGTCGGACGGTCATTTATGTAGGCACTGATCCTGCACCGCAAGTGGCGAGCATTTCGAACCGGTACTCTGAATTGATTGGTTGTACGGTGCTTAACGGCCAGCCCATCAGAGACTACCAGGTGATGATCATTGAGCCGGGGGGAGACGTACACGCGATTACTCCAAACTTGGCCGCTACCATGCGCATAGCCTTTTACTCAGGGAAAGCATCGCATAATGCCGGTGAACGTGTCGGACGTGGTTTGCACGCCTGTTTTAGACTCTTTGCGATTACGAAGGCCTAGGCTGTTCTCAGCCAGACGACGGCAAGGGGTCAGAAACTTGCCTCACGACCCACACGAGCGGTATCAAGAGGATCACCAGGCCTACTCAAGCAAACAGTGGGCTGCACGAAGATTTGTCTATTGCAATACCATCCACAAGCCATCTTCTTCGACCACAGCAGTGCATGCATGCGTAGGCGAGACCCCGTCACATTTTATCACGAGAAGCCATCCGGTCCGGCGTGAGCTCGTCTGACGTGGCAGTCAGATACTGGACCTGGTAGTAACTTGCTGGGGGCTTTTGTCAGTCACCAGTGCCCACCCGAAAACAGCGGCGTCTTAGCAGTTACCTGCTAGAACTTGGCGCTCGTGACTGGTAAGCGCTGCCGAAACGTTCAACTAAGGGAGCCACAAGCGCCCATGCCGGCCGGGCTTACTGCTAGAAAGTCCCGTCTCTGACTGCCCTACTAGTCGCGATGATCCAGGCGTTGGGCCCCTACTGATACCGGGCGGTGAATTCTGGGGGTTTGGCGTCACTTACCAGCAACCCGCCTTGATTGCAGCTAACTCTTAGCAGCAACGTACTTGAATTTGCCGCCCGTGACTGGAAAGTGTTCGCGAGCCTGCGTTTCCTATCGCTAGAAACGCCCCAGTATTCGGGTTCCACAGCCTGATCGTCTGGCAAAGGAGGCTAAGGAAGAGTTAGGGTAACGGCTCTCGACTTCCGTTGCACCGTTGGGCGGATGGCAGACGGTCGCAGAACCCGGATTGCGGGCACTTCCTCCCCGGGCGCTTCGAGAATTAGAGGCGTCGGGCGCTTTGCGGGGAAGTGGTCCAACCGTAGCCTGTGAGTAGGGTGGAAGCCGAGATGCAAATGGCGCCGTACTAGGATTTAGGAATTTGATACTCAAATCCAGTTTCTTCGTGAACAACAGCCGGTCATGAAGTATAATTATACTGTAGGCACAACGTTGTATGCTGTCAAGTCCGCATCAATGCGACGATGGATACCTCTAAGCCTAATCTAATCAAGCCAAGCAAGCGGGATAGAACGAATGAGAACTTTGAGAAGGCCAGAGAGAACCTCATGTGGCGATGCGATGAAATAAGCCGCCGCTACCAGTCAGACGTCTATATTGTGCTGAAGAGGAGATGCAAGCACTATGAATACAGTTCTACTGATGACCCGGCATGGCCGATATCTAGAGCTGATATGGTTCGTGTCTCCATTGCCTGCTTCGCATTGCTAATCTCTTGAAGGAGAAAGTCTACCCCATGCCCATGAGGAAGACGGCAGCCGATTTTGTCCGCCGCAGAGGCCTCCGAGATGGTTATTGCCGAAAATAACACATGTCACTATCTTTGTCCTGTTCTCCCATCCTTGTCTCTGCCCTCCACTAGCTTGTTGCAATATCCATTCAGTCACACGATGCAGGTACGGTACCCATAAGAAAAACAGAGTTCAGGGCTAGTGCTAGGGTCATGGGCCCAACCTGGAGGGGAGCGAAACGGATGCGGAAGCGAAGCAATCAATGAGAGAGCGATCTGTCATTCGCGTTGGCTACCAGGCAGGATGGAGCATTGGCGGGTTCGGGGAGTGCGGGATCTTCCCGATTGGTGCGTCGAGAATGCCTCGTCGAACTACATCAATCAAGTGGCGTCATATTTGTCTAGAGTGTGTTGGTTCTGCCTGCCGCGTCCTGCAAGGATAAAGATAAGCCTGCCATAGTTTCGAAAATGTCTTCATGCCTGTGCTCGATGGGTCTGTTATATTTATGACGCTCCATCATCCTTGTTTGGTTCTCTCCCCAGACCCTGCCTTGAAGTTGCACTTGTTATCACCGCGCCAGCTTAACATCCATTTGACCGACGGCAATCTCGCCATTGTTACTTTCCAGCAAAATTGTCACAATCCAACTAGGATTTGCTTAACCGGTAATTAAGGCGTTTACTACCTCGACGCGCCTTGATACTGGCTATCCACACCCAAGAGATGGAGCAGCAGACCCGCAAAGGAGTTGTTACTAAGCCCGAGCCATTTGATCCCGGTTCAGTCGAATACTCCTTTGCATGGCTGCAACCCCTCAGCAAAGGGAGGACGACGTTGGTTTACGTCACATCACACATGAAGCAGCTGTAAGATACTGGCTCCAATGAGCTGCTTTGGCTGCGTTACCATGGCACCGCGAACCGCCTCGTACGTTATACACAAGTCGAAGGAAATGTCGTGACTGAGGTTGTCGTTGTCGTACTACTAGGAGCGATCTCAGTTCAACAGCAAAGAGTCCAACATGGAATGGGTGTCGTCACCTCAGGCAGTGACCTTAGCGCTGCGACGTTGTGCCAGGCAACACCGAAAGCTGGCTGGTCCGTGTGCAGGAGGGCCAGCGTCGTTCCCAGTGTAGCGCGACTCCTTGCTAGGCGTACGCACCAGTCTTCACGCTCAGCACATACACAGGAGTGCTATGTGTCGCTTCCTCTCTTGCGCACATTCTCGATGTTTGATGCTCCCAAATTGCTGAGACGGCCCCTTCGAACATTGAGCAGTGGCTGTTTGCCTGTTTACACCACAAGTGGGGTCCGGACCGCGGCTAGCAGTGCCCGACGCCGCATCTTTGGGGAATCTACTTGAAAGTATCCATTTTCGGCTCTGAACAACGGCCATTCTCCGCCCTTTGAGCGTGGTAGCCCTTACAGTCAGACCGAATCAAAAACTTGTCCTTGATGGGCTATGTTAAAAGACCTGAAGTGTATTGCGAAGAGGTCCGTTTTGTCTGTGTGTTTTTCACATCCGATGAGAGCTTGTATATTTAGTATCGAAGTGTAGGACTACTATCGCAACAAAGCGTCAATCCTCCAGCACCAGTCATGCATTGTGCGATCCTTCGCCGATTCTCGCCACTCAGTTGGCTTCTGAATACAGCCCGGACGAGCCATGTTCACCGTCATCACTCAGCAAAACGCTGCGTAGGAAGCTAATGGCGTCCTGGTCGGCCTCCTCGATGGAGCGTATGGCCTTGGCCAACCAGTCAGCCTCGGCTTGCCTTGCGTTAGCTTTGGCTTGTTTTGCGCGTCGCTCTACTTCTAAAACGTCCCGTCTTTTCTGAGAGAGCAAGAGCCAGTCGAATGCCCCAAGGACATTCTGCTGCAGCTCCGACGATAGAGCCTCGAACTGCTCATGATCGGTGAACAGGGTAGACCGAATTGCCGCATGCCGCGTCTCTGGTGACGAAGCCACAGACGGCGCACGGCCAGCCTGCTGCTTGTGTTAGCGATGCAGGCAAGAAGAGGGACAATACTCACTCCAGGGTGGCTCGAGGCAGATGGTGCGGCTGCGGACCCACCAAGGAACGATGGGCGCTGTTCATCCTGGCCAGGCAGCGAGCGGTTTGGCGTCGGCATCGTGAGGGGTAATAGTAGATGGGGAATGGTGCTTCTTGTTCTTATCCTATGGTTTGCCTTCGGAATCATGTTGGGGAGATTTCTTGGGCTTTTATTATTTTTTTGCTGTCACTTGACGCTCGAAAAGCTACCCATCAACACGCCTGAAGGTGACTCGTTATGTTAGTTGTTAATGCTTCAACGTTCGTTATATTTGAGTCGTGTTTTACTGCAGCTATGTTATATTGTAGATCATGCTGTATTTCAGTTATGTCGAGGCTTGTCCCCGCCCAACACACCTAACAAATATAACACATCTAACACACTTTACCGAATGCGCGCGAGAGACCGTTGGCCGGCACAGGTTTGTGCCTGACTTTCCGGGACCAAACCTGCAGGTGGATTTTCGACGCCTGATAGAGCGAATGCCTGGGCTAACAGGCGGGGCAAATCCAGGATTCTTTCCGAGCACCAGCTTCTTCGCATTCCAGGACACCAGCAATCAGTAATGCATCGCCGTCTAGGAGTGCATCAAAGACCTGCGCCACCGCCCAAACACTTGTCGAAAAGGAGTCGAAAAAGTAGTGGACTGCTGCGCCAGGCGCTCAGAAACAGGTGGGAAATTTTCAAATCGTGAGTCGCTCCTTCTGCTGCTGAGTGCGACGGTGTCCTGAACTCACAACTCTCCGAAGCCTGCAAGAACATGCCGAGCCTGTCCGAATCTCTCACATCGTTGCCTTGATCGAGACGAATAGAGCCGAATACCCTCTTTCCTCTTCTTGCACAAATCAGAGCTCGGACGATGCTTTCCAACCCTAACAACCGAACCCTCTCACGCGCCGCGCTGCCGCATCTGCCGATACCGAGCTCGAAAGAAGCGAGGCCAGGATTCAGAGACGTACCGATATCGTTAGTATAACAGAACACAGAGTGTCACGATGCGATCGGTCACGAGTAGAGCTCCGCGTTCTCTGGCCACATCATGCAACGTCGTGGGAGCCGGAGCGGGAACTTCAGATCAACGCCCCCGATGAGTGGCTGGCGTATACATCGGGCGTCGAGCATCGTGCGTGCTTGGGAGAACATCAGCGTGACAAGTGGCACGTTCTGGCTATCCACTCGTATTGGGTTGCCATAGCTCAAGAGAACAGACGCCGGGATCGAAAAGTCATACTTCGGGTATAATGGGAGGGCAGCACAGAGAGGACGGATATCACCGAAAGATCCGCGCGGCTGCGCAATCCAGCAATGGTCGCTGAATACTGGCATAACCAGGGTGGTAGAGATGTTGCACTGCTCGATGCCGACATTAGGGAGGCCTGAGAAAACAGTTGGTAAGCTCGCTGCGGCTGGCCGTGTCGTGACCTCTACTAGTTTGGCTCGACACGCGCTCTTGATCGGTAGAGGTCATCGGCGCTCACATTTTGTGTTACTTCAATGCCGTGTTCACTTCTCCGTTGATAATCCGTTGAGCTGGACGAAGCCATATAGCTGTATTACGGTGCGCTTGGCGAGTGGATGGCCAAACCAACAGTAACAGCACATCCCAGCACTGAGACCTCCTCACCTCGTCTGCTCACGTTGGGGCCGCGAAGGAAAGGTCTGTAGATGTTGACGGTTCGCCCGAAACGCAACCTTCGTTGTCTTCTTTGACTGCCGTGGGAATAAAGTCATTGCCCGCCAGCGCGATTCGTTGACGATAAGAATCATGGGACAGGCTGTTCGTAAAGCGATATACCTTCGGGCTCTAGGTGAGACGGTAAGCGGCCGATGGCCAAGTAAAACCACATGAAGTGGGTGACATCCAAACGGTACAATCAGCGGTGGTTTAGTCGCGATGGCCTCCAGCTTTGCTTTTGGATCGAGTCACCTAGCGAACAGGCTCGGACGGCATAAGGACACTACTCCGGAGGACTCTTGCGTAAACACACACAAAGCCCCAAGCTAGTCAACAGGGATGCGTTTCCGTACGTCTATGAGCGGTGCCAGCTTCTGCTTGGAGACTTAGCTGCACAACGCGCTGAGCTGGAACATGATTTGATTTGATTGATTCCTACTCGGTTTTGGCCGCTTTAGTCAGCAGCTATGCCCGGATAGCGGGGTTTGGCCAACAGCCGACGCGCTCCGGACGTTAATCCGCAGCGCCCCACTTCGCCAGTGCAAAACACCGACCAGCCGTCTCCAAATCTCCCACTTTGCTCTCCAACCTCATCTACCCCTGGCGGCCACCAAGTGTAGTTTGCGGTTCTCTACTAATGTACACGTGTGTCTAGGCT